GGTCACCATCAGCAACAAATGGGTTCCCCGTCCTCTCAGCTGGGCCATCAGCAGCAACAGCAGCAGCAGCAACTTCATCACCTGCCAATGGGTTCGCCGTCGGGCCACCAACTTCCGGCCCACCATCCCATGAGTTCTCCCATATCGCCCATGCATCCACCGCCGGCACCCCACCTGAATTCCCCTTCGCCAATGGGCTCGTCCCACCCGCACCACCACATGAGTTCTCCATCTCCCATAACGCCGGCCTCGGTCCACCCAGCAATGGCTTCGCCCACAGCGATGGGGGGTACTACGATGCCTCATCAGCCGTACCCAAACGCCTTGCCCCCCCACGTTATAACTACTACCAACATCCCGGGCCTGCTGGAGTCTATCACCATCCAGCTAACTACTACTGGTAATGAGATGAACGAGTTACCGCTCACCGACCAATCTCAACACCAGCACGAGCAACACCACCAGCAGCAGCAGCAACAGCAGCAGCAGCACAATCAACAGTTGCAGCAACAGCAACAACAACAGCAGCAGCAGCAGAATCATCATCACCAGCAGCAATCTCAGGATGTTTTACCCGGTTTCGGGACCTTTAGCAATCATCAAAGGCCCCTTCCGAGCTTCACTCAGTTCAACGTAGCCGGGTTTTTGATCGGCCAAAATCAAGCGCAGGCCGTTAACGTGGGGGGGCTGAACGGGGAGGAGAACGTGTCTCCTCAAGACCGATCGTTCGAATCGTCCGAGTCGAATTTCATCCCGTATAGAACTTCGACGCCTCGATACGAATCCTTGACCAATATGGACTCGCAAGCGGTGGAAATGCAACCGAACACGGACGGTATGATCATCAAACAGTACCAATTTCAAGCCCATCATCATTTGCCGCACTCGCTTCACCAGCCCCGGGACCATCACGAGGCGAACAACAATCTGCCGAGCAATAATTCGATGATTCAAGGGAAGGAGGAGTTGAATCCGAACGTCGGTAGACAATTCGAGAAGAGCAGCTCGTACAAAACGAAGGGCGGTACGGTGATCACCAAGGAACATCAGGTGACCAGTACCAACACCGGTTCGCACTACATTTCCCAGGACGGCTTCCACAAGTGCATCGAATGCGACAAGGTATTCAACAAGGCTTGCTACCTGACGCAACACAACAAGAGCTTCCACTCTGGCGACAAGCCGTTCAAATGCAATCAGTGCGGTAAGAGGTTCCCCCTCGAGTACCTGCACGCGGAGCACCTGCAGAAGCACGCCGGTGACAAGCCATACAAGTGCGAGATATGTCCCAAGCAGTTCAACCACAAAACTGACCTTAGGCGGCACTTGTGCCTCCACACCGGCGAAAAGCCGTACGCCTGTGATAATTGCGGCAAGGGATTCATCAGGAAGGACCACATGATGAAGCACCTCGAGACGCACAAAAAGAAAAACAACAACCACAACGTCCATCTCAGGGCGTGATTCGAGAGCAGTTTGAAACGTCGAGCATCGTGGACGTGGAAGGGAACGACGGCGGACCACACCGTTGTCCGATGATCTTCGCCCCCGTCGTTGTCGTCGTCGTCGTCGTTGTCTTCTTCTTCGTCGTCGTCGTCGTCGCTATCGATCGGAAAAAGGTGAGATCATCGAACCGTTAACCACGGCCGGCTCCGCAATCGTGTGTGATAACAACGAGACCGTTGCAATCGTTGCGATTTCTCCAATTCTTTCATCGTGTTTAAATTCGATCGGAGACTCGACCCGAGACTCGAGTTCGCATCCGTTCGATCGTGATCAAATTTTCTAATTTATCCTCGTCGATGATATTTTCGACATATTTCGATTATTTTTTCTTTTTTCTTTTTCTTTTTTTTTTTTTTTCTTTTTCCCCTCCCGGCTATCGATCAACAATCGTATATACTCGCGTGTTATTTGATTCGACGAGAGAAACGAGATCCGTTCGTGCCGTTGTTCCTCGACGTTAGCATTTTTTCTTTCCTCTTTTCTTTTTATCTTTTAATATCTTGTCGTTCGTATACACGGATAATTATAATGTCGGATATAAGATAAGATCTCGCCGAGTCTCTTTTCATCAACGAGTGACAACGGTACTCGTCGAAAGGATATTGATTTTTCTTTTTTTGCTCAACGGTGTTGATATTTATTTCTTCTCGAATCGGGATCGAGATTTACCACCGTTTCGACGAGTGATACAACGGATTCGTACGAAACATGGATCGCGAAATTTTCGCGTTTTGCATCATCGAGATGGAAAAAAATTGCTAAAATTTAAAGAAAAAAATAAAGAAAAAAAAAAGACATGAAACGTTGCGATACATGGAGTTGATCGTGAAATAATCGGCGAGAGATTTGTTCTCTCACCGATTGCTCGACTCGGTAGATCGCTGCTTCCACTTTGACAAAATGGAGTCCGGTAAACATGTTCTCGAACCCACGATTCTCTCGAGAAAATCGAATAATCGAGCACTCTCGAATGATAATAATTCCGAAAGTGAAAAAAAAAAAAAAAAAAAGAAGAAGAAGAAAAAAAAGAAAAAAAAAATAGAAAAGAAACGCGCAATGGAGATTTCTGATGCGACGTCGAACCTTCGAAGCTTATCAATTGTACAAAATATGTTAAATGTATAGGCGTATAATTAATCTATAATTATTATTATCACTGTAATTATTGAATTTAATTGAATATCGTTTAGAAAGTGATTACGAAACTTATACATAATACTCGTATTTTATAGCGTATATAGGCATACTTTTATCGAGGGAGAGGAAAAAAATAAAATGATTGATAGATACATATTCGCGAAAAGACGCGGCGATGAGAAACGTTAAGCAAATTTCACGAGTCCACTGTGAAAATCGTTCACCGATCGATATCTCTATTTTAATCGTTGTTCATTCGATTTGTATTCCTTTTACATTCTTTTATTCTTTTTCTTTACCAAGAAATTTCTTTTTTTTTACCTAAAAAGCGATCGATCGAGAATGTAAAAGAATTTTTGTTTACCACTCTATGAGAAATCTCTGTGTGTTTAACTCTGCTTTTCGATGCATTTTTTTTTCTTTCTCCTCCGTTTTTTAACATTCCTTTTATTTTCGCATACATTCCAATTTGACGACGTGAACAACCGTCACTGGGGATTCGTTTTCGCGACACCATCGCGTCTTTTCAATTTTTCTAAAACGTTAAGATTAATAATAAGTTTCAAATTGTACGTTGCCCGGAATGAATCTTGCTCGTGTCGTTTCGTTATAGTAAAATGTAAATTCTTTTACTTGCAATTTTCACTAAATATTTTCGAACAAATTTTTTCATTATATGTACATATATATTATAATAATATATATATTATTTTAATATAAAATATATATATTATTATACATATTATTTACATACATACATACATACATATATACACACACACATACACATATATATGTATTAT